AACTTCACTCATCTATTGATTCTGATCAGGAATACATATACTTCATAGGGTCGGAAAAACTACAGCACCTGCACCTGCAAAGATGGTTGTATAACAAGTACGCATTATGTACAAATAAGAAAACACATCAACCTGGACCTAACAAAAACAGAGAATTTTAGAAGCTCCACATTCAGCTTCAGTTGGCAAATCATACCTTGCAGAATAAGGGGACCCTACATGGCAGTACGCTACAATGGTTGCTTCTTATGACTGTAAACCAACAGAGAAAGATTAAAATGGACGGTATTCATATGAACGATTACTCGAGCACGACATGGTGAAAAAGAATAACAAAGGAGAAGAAGAATTGTCCTGTCCATAGCGCGGCGGGGATCATGGATTGAAGAACTGCAAGCGATTTTTAGGCAGCTTTGCCTAAAGTGGACCAGCGACGTGATACAGACTGAGTCTAATCAAAAATAATCTGCAAAAATAATCCATTGCAAAGCATCGGTGTTACAATTCTTAAGAATTATCCACATTTGTATGAAGCTGAAAATCATGATCTTATCGCTGTACGCTACACGGTTACTTGATGGAGCTATGAAGGCGAACTGCTCATTGGAGCCAGTCGGAATACCCGTCCCTGTGAAACTGGTGAGACTCAAAAAGGATGAATCATTCTAAAAGGACCGATATGTTGGTGTCCTCGCTGGGAGTGCTTCAGAGAACGACCTATAGCGGTATCAGGTTTTATCAGATTAAAGTTCGCGTTTCTGACCAAACTTCCCAGGAGTTTATTTTTGACGCAATGGAGAAGTTGTTCGTCCACCGGTCACATTGTAATGCAAGATATAACCATTGGCGGCGCATGTTCGCCGTCACTTGCTATTTTTATACAGAAACGCAATGCAGAGCCATTTGGTTAACGTCATCCTGAATCAGTAAAAGCGATTTCCGAAAAACCTTCGTTGACGATTGGTTGCAGTCAGTTAATACGGAGGATCAAAAGTAGCAAGCAGCGTTAAGGACATTTACGCTTCAACCAACAAAATTCGGTGCAAATGTTTAGTTTTGAATAAGATCATACGGTAGTAAGTACCCTCAATTCGTAGCTTAACGAGTCGGAGATATCCTGGGAGGATCCGAAATGGATGAATGGTGTTAGGTGGCATCAGAACAAAGCATAGTGGATTTTTCTGGATTTATAATGAGCAATAGACAATATTTTCGTTCAAGTGTGTTAAGAAAAAAGTTCCTGAAGAATTAGATGCTTTAAGACCGGAAAAATCGGGACCATACCATGACTAAGTCATAGTGCTTCGTATGAAAGGTCAAATAGACGCTATCCAAAAAATTATGCTCTCACGTCGCCACAGAATAACATACCTTATTGTGGAGCATTGCCATCGCAAGTATCACCATCTACACAGCAAGGCTATTGGATAACAGTTCGCGCTGTTCACCTGGAGCATGTGCCCTCTCTATCAAAGGACTCGTTTTTGATGGCTCTGAAGTTGTTCTTAAGATGTTATCGGACGAGGCTTTAAGGTTGTTCACTGCTCGACGAGGTGTACCTCTTAAGAAGTTATCTGAAAATGGATCGAATTTTCGAGGTGCCAGTAAAAGTACTCGTCCAGGAGATTAACCGCATATCATAGTCAGCAGTAGAGCAAAAATATCTGGAAATGTCGTTTTTTAATAAGTCCCCCAGGATCACCTCATAAGGGTGGCACGTGGGTACGTTCTACAAAGTCGATCCTGATCGAAATCTTGCTGAATTCAGAACAACGTGAAGAAGCTTTGCGTGCTGCTTTAGCCGATGTGGGATCTACTTTAAACTCAACTCGTGTCGGCCACGTGAACGAAACTCAATGGAATGTACCGGAATGGGTCTAGCAAAGAATTTTCAAATCACTGGTTAACTGGCGGATACAATCTGGAAAAGATGGATTCGGGAGTATCAGCCCACCCTGATAATGTCAGTGGACGACGTAGCTCTTATCGTCAACGATGCAAGCAAGCGGAATTTCTGGAAAAAGTGGAAAGTTGTGGATGTTCAATGTGCGAAGGATAGTCAAGTATGCAGCGCAGTTGTGCGTACATCTGCTTAATTGGACATCACAAGGATTGGTAATGCGAAGAATTACTAGGTGGAGAATAATGCGATGCTGACAAGGTTGCACAGCTGCGTAGTAACAATTCAGTTTGAACAACCAGTTCATTTGAAATTAGAAATAAGTCTGGCAGCCATGAAATTGTTCGACAATGCCGACCAATGTTTAACCTGGTTTGAATGTTTGTATTTGAGAAAAACATTGTTGAGAATTGCAGAGTTAATAGTATTATAACAATATTGTCACTACATTTAATTCAAAACACTTCTCGGAAGATTTGTTAAAAATATATGAATTGTAAAAGGGAGTTCTGCATCATAGGTGTAACGAAATGGGAGGACTTGCTATTTGCCAGGTTGCCCGATTAATCGTACAATTTAATGCAAGTTGTACTTCTCCAAAGGCGTCCTCATGGGTATACTGAAAAACTTATTGTCTGCGAAAGAAGCAAGTTAGCTTTTTTGATAGGACGCCCTTGGAGAAGTACAACTTGTATTAAATTGTACGATTAATCGGGCAACTGAGGCAAGCCCGAAGAGACTACAGAAAGGGAAATAGATCTAACTACCATCAGAGCTAATGCCACCTATGAAATGAAATCCTTAGCCTCTTATGATTAACTTAGGTTCGGCAAATGCAAGGCAGCCGTTGCTAAATTGCTGGAAGAATGGCACCAAAAAAAAACAAAAAAAAAAAAAACAAAAGGAGAATGACAAGACCTACCCTGTGGAATGTAGTTTATTAAGTAATTCGTTAGGTTTGTTATATGTACTAGATTAAATGTTGTTTAAGTAAAACAAGAAGAAACGCTATAGTAGAGTGCCGCGACTATAAGATACTCGTTACTGTTTTGCACAATTTTAAAATAATCACTGCTGGTTGAAATGAACAAAGCGTCACCTTTTGTCAAAAAAGTTGTTTACTAACTGATGGTGACGTCTCTGCCCATGTAAGGCCTTATAAACTAATTTCTTCATAAATAGCAAAATATTGTTCCGATTTGTATATTCTGGATGAAAACGCACGCCAAGCTGCAGTGTGCCATCTCTAAAAAATTGTTAAAAGCCTAACTTTCTTTTATAGTTCCCGTGATTTTCGCATTTTAGATTTTTTGGGCGTTAGAGTGGGCGTATACGCATACGCATTTGGGGCGTCATTTGAAACTACATGCCTAATCCCAACTTTCACTTAAATTGACCGAGATATCAGCCTTTCTATAAAAAGCTAAAATCGTCTTTCGAGCTTGCTGGGTGTAAGAGAGGGCGGTGCCGCATAATGGTACCACCATTAGATGCGCTGGCATCTCAAGATGACACTTACTTAATCTTTATAGCTCTAAAAGTTCATAGTTCATTGCGCTGCGTAGGGAATCTGCCTGCTTAATCTCAACGCTGTATCTCTTATAGTTCCTGAGATCTCCGCGTTCATACGGACTTACAGTCGATGGGACATGGCTTAATCGACTTCGCTATTGATAATATATATACTTTACATGGTCGGAAACGCTTCCTTCTACCTGTTACATAGTGTTCAACGAATCTAATAAATCTTTTTAATCTACGAGTAACGTGTATATAAAGACCGTTTTTAATTATAGATGTTTTGTATGGCGAGAGATATATGTTGCCAAAACACGATGTCATAAAGAAAATTGGCTATCATACCAAATATTGGGATAAGTTTATTTTCTAGATAAAATAGTTATTTCTTAGTTAAATATAAAAAACCGAATATTAAAGGAGCGCCACATATTCGTTTTTTTAGTTTTTCTGTCATCCTCTGGCGTGGGCAACCTCATTTTTATTGATGGGATCATGGATGCCAAAATGTACCTCAAAATTCTACAGGAAAACCTAACAACAACAACAAGCTGAAAAACTGGGCATACGCGACCGTTATCTATTTTACCAGGACAACGATCCGAAGCATTCAGCAGGAAATGTGAAGTCCTGGCTTATCTGGAACTGCCCTCTTGTCGATATAACGCCTGTAGAGTATCCAGATTTAATTGTGATCAAAAATTAATGGTGAATATTGAACATCGCTGTAAGGAAGAGGAAGATTTCGAACAAAAACGATCACAAAACGGTTCCAATGGAATAATGGCAATAAATTGCAGTGGAATACACTAAAAAGTTAGTTTCTTCCATGGGAAATCGTCTCAAAGCTGTTCTGAAGCAGAAAGTATGACATAAAAAATTTTAGCTGTTAAATTACAAATAATAATTTAAGTAGAATCTGCTGCAGGAAATAAGCTGCGGCATGGAAAAAGACTGAAAATTTTGTTTTTATGATTATGAAAATCGCTTTAGTTTAATAATCATGTTAATATTTCCCATTAAAATACGGCGTTTAAATCTGTCTGTTATGATAACTGCACGAAATAAGATGCGAGGCACTGTATGTTACGGTTTGATGTCGGATGGTTCTTGATGAGATGACCGTGTTAATTTTTAAATTATATTTTTAATAGTTAAAAGAATTCTCTCGAACATTTTACTTAGGTAGTTAACAGTTTTTCCTTGCGATTCGTTTAATTCTATTCCCCTCTGTCATTTTGTACCAGATATAGACCAAGAATGAGGACAAAAATGTTTGTGATTTCCACAATTAACATTCCATTAAGTAAACAAAAAAAATAAAAAAAAAAACAACTTAATAGACCAAAAAACTAATTAAATTATTTTGTGGTGCAACGAATACTTTTTTGAGCATAAAGATCGACTTAGTTTTACATTTCTGTCTCTGTTTTTTTATATTTCATTAGGCAATATAGGCATTTTTCGAGATGTACATACATATATCGATTTTAACCACATTAAAACTGATTTAAAAACAGCATTTTTCTCTGAGGCACCCTCGCAACGAATAGTTTATTGACTAACAGTATGTGATTCTTACCAATAGATGAAAGAGGTTGAAGATCATTTTGCTTTCCGACTATATTATTTCCAGTTGCGTTTGTATTTTGTTGTAATGATGTATGGGCCGCGGATTGTGGCTGCGATAATTGTTGACTCTGTCCTTGAGACTGCATATTCTTTTCTTTGTTTGTTTTACATACATTTACATCCAACGATGGTAAAAATTGTCTAAAACCAATAAGCCATCCTTAGTCTAAGCAAATGTGATGCGATTTACATGTTATACCATTTAAGAGTAATGTAATTTGTAAGCTAAAAATGGTTAACTGATAACCATCTCTAAATAAAGTGGTTTCTACATTAATCAAAATCGACTCAGCTGTTTTATTTTAATTCAATAATTCCTTACCAAATCTTTTGAAATAGCTTCACTTAAATCGCGAAACGATGAAAAAAAACTAATTTTTGATATACTTTATTCCCACGAGGAAAAATGTACCATCGTAGTTTTATATTTCACAGAGTAACTTTATTACGATTGTGTGTGTATGTAATGTCGTTTTTACTAATTAACCGTTACGATCTTCTATTCTATTTAGTATGATTATTAAATTCAAGCTCTTTTTAATACAAAATCTTTATTTTTAAAGAAAATGTCATAAGGTTTAAAGTAATTACTAATTTTTTCCATTAGCATACTGTTTTCATCAAACATAACCTCTAATCTTGTATTATCTTATGTGTTATGTCAGATATTTCTTCGTCATTTTGTCACCTAAACACTAAACGGGGCTTCAGCGTTACACCAAGAAATATGTGTATCACTACATCTTCCTTAAACGAATGTCAATAGTAGAGGGGGAGAAACATCGATGTTTCACTTAATTTAATGGCGACGCTTTTAAAAAATATTTCTGCGTTCCCGCATCATTTAGTGAGTCTGAAAGAGCTTTCAGTAGAGCTGCACATTATAAGAGCGTCGCACGCTGTATTACCGACCGTTGTCTATAACCTCCTCTTTTTCTGCCCGTTTTCCTGAGTGTAATGAGTGTTTACCGTCACTTCCCAAATTTCTTGTCGGAGCACGCAACTCAATTTTTTTAGAAATGCAGGAGGATAAAAAGAAGGAAAAGTAAAAATCTATTTAATGTATTCTAGTTCTTCTGAATTAACTTGTGGATCTCTTCTTGTTATCCTATGTACTTATATTCACATTGTTCCATAAAAGTAAGTTGACGCCAAATTGAATGAACAGGCATGGATGTCGAATTTTAAGATAAAGTAGTAAAATGTAAAAGCTACACACCGACGTAAGCCGCAAGAGGGTCCTCCTAAAATAAATGGGAGAAATGATGCGGCAGCTTGAAGACTGTGATGCGACAGTAAGAGGTGGAGAAACATCGATGCCAACATCGATGATATCGATGCAAAATGCAAAAAAGCAGCATCGGAGTGGACCAAAAGTAGAGGTGGAGAAACATCGATGTTCACGGACATCGATGTTTACGATGTTTTTGGCGAAAACATCGATGAAACATCGATGTTTTAAATAAAAAAAAATGTGCAGTTATTTTAATGTATTTGAACTTTATTTTAATTTGTAATGTTTAAAAATTAAAAGTCAAATTTTCAACAAAAAATATCCAATTTATTAATCACTTATTAAATAAAAACGAAAAGAAAAACAAATTAAAATAAAACTGTTCATGATATTCATGTTCTACTTCTTTGGTATATTGTCATATTCTTAGTTTGTAAATAATAACAAAAAAAACAAATTTTATATCAATGTTTCAATATATACATACATGATCCAAAGAAAATAATAGTTTTTTTGGATAATGTGATATTCCTACTATACTTACTATTCCGAACTCTACTATATATGTATATTTATACATATACATATACACATACACACATATACACATATACATATGTATCTGTGTATTTATTTACATCTTTGTTTTTGTATAAAAAGAGGAGCTTATCGACAACGGTCGATGATAGCCGCGTGCGACGTTCACTTATAAGTTGTCCAGCTTTACTGAAAACTCTTTCAGATTCGCACGAAGATGCCGGATCGCAGAAGTATTATTAAGCTAACGTTTTATAAGCGTAGCCATTAAATTAAGTTATATATGTACTTACAATTCGCCAATCAATCAATGTGCCTTAGAAAAGAAAAAACATCGATGTTCCTCCGGTAAACATCGATGTTGCCGATGTTTCGAAAACATCGATGTCATCGATGTTCGCATCGATGTTTCTCCACCTCTAACCAAAAGCCACTTGAGAGGGAGCAATATTTCATTTTTATGAAAATTTGTTCAAAAACTAAAATTATGAATTTCCAAGTATATATAGATAGAAAAGTGCAAATAAAATTACTTAAACCATTAAATGGAACAACGTAAACATTTATTAGTTTATATAATTATTATAAAGCCAGCAATGGATTGGTTTTTTCTTCGTTTATTTTTTCTTCCCCAAAATTCTTTAATTGGTTCTTGCCAGGCAGACTTATGTTCGTATGTGTCAGTATGACTGAATCACTACTTATGAATGACTAATTCAATTGCAATAGAAGCCCCCTTGGCTAGGACCACAGCCATGCCCCCAGAATAGCTTAAGTTTGCCATTGAAACTGCTGTCAGCAGCATTCCGACGGCAACACTTTTTCGTGCTACTTCTCATTAGACGAAGAGTAGTGGGTATAGAGATGAAGATCCTCATCAACAGCGGGGCGTTCAAGTACTTTATTCGCCCCACAAGGTGTTCAGAGGTGTACGCCCAGTCAAAAACCGCTCTGGCGTATTCGTACCGTGCCAGGCCTTACTCCACTCGTCCTCTCAAATCAGCTTCGTCACCTCTCGTTTCGCAAATCAATTACAACTCCAAATCCATCGCTCAACCATCTTCATATGAGGGATAGGCGAGTCCTCACTAGCGTCGGATAACTCGGTTAACACTTTCGCACAATTTGTTAATGCAAAGTACACGATCTCGCTTGTAGCTGCTGTTACCCGGTCAATCACCGATTATCACCCACAGTTCGACCTCAACCCATCTGAGTAGAAAATACCGGAAAATGTCCAGCTCGCCGACCCTATCTTCTACAAAAGTCAGCGCATTGACTTGCTTATTGAAGCAAGTGAATTCTTCGAGCTGCTTTGTTTTCGACAAATTCGTTTAGGAAACCATTTACCTATCCTGCAGAGAACCAGACTTGGCTGGATCTTCTCAGGGTGTCCAAAGGTAGGAGCCTATACACGCTCATCTTCAATTTCCTCAATTCAGGAACCCAGCACTCAGTCGGAGATACTATTAGCTAGTATACACAAAAATATTTATAATAAAAAATCTAATTATAGAGAAGAGTAATTAGCTACTAAGGCCATCGACTCGATATATATTAGGTTTAATTCAGTTGTTGTTAAGGTAGCTAATAAGTTTGAAAGCGATGTAAGCCCGAAGAGGTTGGTCCTAAGTTTTTATAGTGTTTGCATGAATCTAGTATACTCGTATGTTTGACTGATGGTTCCTCCCTACAGTTTTGCCTTCTTTCGCCGTTTCGCTTCTGTCGCACGGCGCAGGGTATTTGATTGCCTTCTTTGAGGGCTAAACTGTTTATACTAGTGGATAAATGACGACCAGTCTTCAAATTCGATGCCGAGCCTTATATGTTTGATATTTTTCCAGATGTTCTGCTTTACTCCAGGTATAATTGTATGGCACGGAGCCCGTACGGCTAACTTTGCTGCTTTGTCGGCTAACTCGTTTCCAGATATTCCTATATGCGCTGGGACCCATATTATCTTAATTTTGGCACTATTTTGTATGCAGAGGTGACGAATTTTACATAGAAGGTTGTTGTTATTGTACAATTTTTGGACTCCTAGCAGGGTGGAGTTCAATGTTTATGTTATTGAAAAATAATTAACGATATATTCAGTGTTATTTTTTGCAAATATGAAAGAATTTACATTTATTTACAGCAAGGGTAGCACCGGAAGTGTTTCCCTATATCTGGATTTCATTAAGAATATCTGTGAACTTATTGTTGAGTGAACTGGTATTCTTACATTTGGAAGGTAATTATACACAACACCACAGAGAGGGGCGATCCTTGTGGAATGCTGCCCTTTCGAAATCAGTTGCCAGAATGGTAACATGATTTTTTGTAGAAAGGGCAAAAGGGAATCAAGAGTGCTATGCTGTTGTTTAAAAGCTGTTTGGTGAGGATTGATAAGTTTATGTTTAATATTTTTTCAAGAGTCTTGGTTAAACAGGGAGGAAGAGAAATGGGCCTTTAGGAAGATATTTCGTTGGTTGGTTTATTAGGTTTTAAAATTGGGATTATAATGGCGGATTTCCAGACGTGGGGGTAGGAACCTTTACCAAGCATTTCATTGTACATTTCTAATAGGTGGTACTTAGCTTTGGAGGGCAAATGTTCTTTAATGGTCTTTACCGGGAGTTTTACCTTTTAAGTATTGAAGGGCATTTTCAAGCTCGCTACGGGTAAAATTAGAGTGGAAATCAGTAGCAGATGCGGCCAAATTGGTTACTGTGTAATCCTGCGAGAGAATTTCTTCTTTGCAGGTCTTGTATTGGTGGGAGAAGTTGTCGTCCTTGGAATAGTCCGACCAAAAGTTCCCAAAAGCATCGCAGATGTCTGTAGAGTGATGCATCTCTTTATCTTTATTTTTAATTGTTCTGAGGCTATATGAGGAGTTACCAATTAGGCGATTTAGATCGGACCATGTCTTCTTAGTAGAAGATAAAGGGCTAATATTTGATGTGAATCCTTCAAAGGATTCTCGTTTTGCTATTTTAGATTTGTATTTAAATAGGGCATTGGATTTCCTGTAAGAGGTCAAAGCAGCAGATCACTTCCATAAAGAGAGTCTTTTACGGACCACTTACAGAAAGGGAACAATGATGCGGATGCTAAAGTAAGGTCAATAGCTGTAAAGGAGTTGTGGGTAGAATTATGGGTAGCGGAGCCATCATTAAGAATAGTCAAGATTGATTTGGTAATTACCTCTTCTATTTGGAGTCCTCTTGAGTTATATGAGGTTGACCCCCATATTGGACTCAATACATTGAAATCTCCAACATAAAGGATTCGTTTCCTGGTAAGATCTAGTATTTTGAGTATTTCATTGGCTGTCCCGAGTTGGGATGGAGGTATATACGTATTGAAAATGCAAATATTGCGTTGTAGGATTTCGATACCTAAAAAGCGTGTACTTCCACTTATTGGTATAGGCTTGTGAGGAATATCTATCTGGATGAGTATGTTAACACCTTACTTAGCATAGGCATTAGAGATTGAGTTGTAGAAATAAGCAGTAAATTGCTTGGGGAATGCAAC